CTTTGGCTGGCGTGTTGAGTGTTTGCGTTTTTCAAATTGTGTGAATTTATTTTTTTGCTGCCTTTGTTTTTATGGCGCCTGAAATTATGCTTATTTCGCCATTTCTGCTTAGCTCTTAAAGAAATTAAAAAAAAGAAGCAGCAGCTCGAAAACCCCCCAAGTGAAAGTGAAGAACAAGAAAACCACGAGTTAGAAGGACCTTGAGTGTTCCTTTGTGTGCGTGCGTCTGAGTGTGTATTTGTGTGTGCCTTTCGCTTTGGCGCCTTTTCCGTAGACGACTTTGTTTTTGTTTTCGACGCTTCGAGCCCTCAGCGAAAACAAAACCCAAAGCTCTGTGTTCTCTAAAACACTCGCTTGTCTTCGCCTAATGCTCAAGGATAAAAAAGGAGAGGAGCTCCCAGGCCAATAGGAATTAAATGGCTAGGCGCCGAAATTGCCCTTTAAATTTTGCCCCCGATTGGCCGGATATCTCCAGCTGATATTTAATTCAGTATTTATCCTAGATGCTTTGATTTCTCTGGCCACATTTTGATTACTTCGACAGCAACTGGCAGGACGGTATATTTTTTTCTATTTTTTATGTTTGACAGCCAACTGTGGCCGAGCCTGACATTTCGACAGTCGGACATTCGGACAGAAGGAAGAACCCGGGCCATTTTCAAATTGACAAGAATAGGAAGAGCCTGGGGGAAAGGGGGGAACTCACGCCAATGGGGGAATATCAAAAACTCATTACAATCACTTCTGACGTAAATGTGGCTACCAAATATAAACCTAATGGCCCACAAGGATGGCCAGCACATAAAACACGGCCAGGACCGAAAGAAGACGATGCCATCTAGAACAGGGTGACTGGGTCAGGGGAGCGGCCTTAATTAATGTTCACCTATTCACATTTCGGCGTCGATTCTTAATTAAAACTTCAATAGCTTTTCGCAAAAGAATAGAAAAAAATATTTTATTTGCCTTAAACTCGACATGATTTTTCAGCAATCTTAATGTATTTAATATGTGTATATCTATATGAAATATATATATGAATAAATTGTTTTTCTCTGTCTCATTTGTCTAGGCAATTTGAGTCCATAAAGCGCACAATAAAAATCGACATTAAAAGGCTGCCATTCAAATAAATATGGCCTTGTGCTAAACGAATCGTTAACAAAAACTGGGAGCAAAAGAAATTGGACAGCAAAAAAGCGTAAAAAAGCGGGGGGGAGAACAAAATGAAAAGCGAAACACTTTTTCAAAATAATTTCACACAATTAAAGTGAAAAGCCATACGCAGACGTCTATTGTCGTGAACAATGGCCAAGTAGAGACGAGGGTTGATTGAAGGAGAGTCGGCCGATTTATTTGTTGAGTGCAAATTATATTTGAAATACACACAGCAATGAATGTATAAAAATGTACTGAACAAATTGGTGCAACAAAAACGCCAGCACAAACGAATCGTGAGGAATTTGTTTCATTTCACTGGCACTCTTCATTTGTTTTGTTGCCCCTTACCATTTTAAAGGCAACCAATTAAAGTACGTTTCGGGGCTTCCGGGTAGATCAAATTTTTAATAACTGTCTCTAAGAGCGTAAAACGCGCAATGCCTGCTATTTTCTTTTGAGCCGAAAAGTTGTCCTAACAATGCGAAATGCCATAAAAATGCCAGCTAAGTAAGTTCCACTGATATGGCTAACTTCATTTGTGTTTCCGCCACTCCGAGTACTTCCGGCGGTTGCCAGGCTCGAACTCAAGATGGAAGAGCCACTGACTTGGCCAAGAGACCCCGGCAGCAGGGGGCATATACATTTACATTTGAACGGAGGACGGCCCCGGCAAACGAATAGTTTATGGGCAGCTGGCTAAGCCCGGTTGGCTTATTTATGGGGTCCGAGGTACGTGTTTTATAGTATTTTATTTGTCCCTGCATATTTCATAAATTACGTGGTAATCTGCGTGTAATTGCCCTTCCTTTCCTACCGATGCAAATGCGTAATTACGCTCATTGTTTGAACAATCAGGACGGGCCCAAGCACTCCATAACTCTTCTTCGATTGGCCCAGATGGATCGCCCCAAGTCATCGCAAACACTCATAATTGTGGGCCACCTTGGTTGGGCTTTCAATTGCTTCACCCTTAACCCACAGCTCTTGCCGGCACATGTTTTGGGGAAACAAATTGCGCTGTTGACCTTCGAACGATGGTTGGCAAAAGTTCTGCCTCGACTCAATTGAATCTCACAAAGGGGCACAGACAACTGCTTCAGCATATTTATAGGCATTATTTCTGTACTCAAGGATTTCCAGTCAACGATTTTGGCTCGTTAGTGAACTGGCTTCGCCGTGGCCGCTGTTGTCCCGTTGGCCGCAGATTTATGCCGCTGCCAAAACTTTTTTAACAACATCCGAAATTTACGATTTTCGGAACACGCACACTGAGCGAATCAAAGTTATGTTCGGCGGGCCGGAGGAAATGGTTAACTAGCCTGGCCTTTGTATCTCCATCTTCGGTCTGTTGTTTGTCCTGACTTGGATCTGTTTTGATTTAGTAATGGCTGGCGGACATTTAATTAGTGTCGCCAGAAAGTCTGCAAACAGGATCCCGATAAATAAGCCGACTATTAGATGACAGACATCAACTATTGTTCGAACTTTATCTTTATAATGAGCTCGACCACCTTAAACTGGCAATGAAGTCATCGACTTCATCGGTCCGTTTTCGGTGGCTGTAGCTCACATTGTTGGGCCACGAAACAAAATTTGAATATGTAATGTGCGCCCCGAGTGAATTGAAAATGTTAATCGCAAGCCAAACAAAAGCTTACATTTGGCTACACCGATTCTGGTGCTGACAATCATGTTAATGAGGCTGTCGCTGTCAATTAGGAACGCATCTCCAGGGCACCTGTGGCGACATAAAACGCTGAACACGGTGTCATGTTTATTGACATATTTTGTCGATCCCAATAAATCTAAATCTAAATGAATATATTTAAAGTTGACAAGTGTGGAATGCTGGGTTGGTTGTCAAATTTGTGGTGAAACTATTGCTATTGCTTCGCATACCATCTAACTGAACTTTGTGAAGCCTTGTTATGTAATATAAATGATTAATTAAAAAAAAAACATTTTTGTTACATTTCGGAAATTAACGAAAACTTAGTTGTTGCAACGTTTAAGTCAAGAAACATAAGCTTATAAATATATTCTTATATATTTCGAAGGAAACTGAAAAAGATTTGATGAAGCAGAGCTTCCCATTAGGAATCAAATACAATTTATGTGCGTCAATTTTTTATTCGGTTAATAAATTATAAATAAATAAATATTGAGCTAGCAGAGAGTGTCGGATTGAAGATCTATCGCTTAGACGCACACCAATCCAATGCCGAAGATCTTTTTGCAGGGCTTCAGCGGGGTGGATTCGGTGGATTCGTCCGAATCGTGATGGTGGCTTGGTGGTGGTGGCGGTGGTGGTGGTGGATAGTACGGGAAAGGTGGATAGTAGGGAGGTGGTGGAGGATAGTGTGGGTGATGAGGACCGTGATCAGGAGGAGTGGGTTTCACGGTTGGCTTCTTGGTGGTCGTTGTGGTGGTAGTCGTTGTGTGGTGATGATGTCCACCTTCGTGGCCGCCTTCGTGTCCACCGTCATGTCCGCCATGTCCGCCATGACCGGGGAATGGATAGGGCGGAGGAGGAGGAGGATAGTAGCCGGGGTAAGGGTAGTGCGGGTAATGCGGGAACTGCGGGTACTGTGGGTAAGGCTGGTAGTGCGGATGAGACGGGTACTTGGACGGGTAGGGGTAGTACGGCCGCTTGGTGGTCTTTGGCTTCCTGGTGGTGCTGGAGGACTGGGGGAAGCTCACCACCAGGTTTCCGCTGCTGCCTTCGCTGCCGAAGAGTTTGCGCCACGACGAGGGATCCGCCTCCGCGTCGTTCTCCTCAACGCTGTTCAGCTCCTGGCTGTTCTCCAGCGGTGACTCCTGGTCGAGGACCTCCTCCTGGGGACGAGCCATGGCCACGGCTCCGCAGAGCGCCAGGCACAGGCAGAGTACCAACTTGGTGCTCATGGTGGGAATGATGTTCACTTCGAACTGATTGACAAATGGCAACAGCTGCGCTTTTATACTAGTCCTATTCGCCAAAAGAAATGCGATGGCACCCTCTGAGTTGTTGCCAATAAACATTAACCCAGTTTGCTAGCATTTTCAAAAGATCTTAAACAATCATCTAGTCTTTTGCACGAAAAGTGTTTAGTCACCGCTTCGGCTAGCTTGCATGTAAATTAGTTCAGCTATTAAAACCAGCTCAGAACACGCCCAACAAGTTCCTAACTTTTATTTGCTTAGATCGGCATAATGGATAAGCTTGCTGGAATAACGGTTCATGCTTGATAGGGTTATTTTTTGCTTTTTTTATAGCTATAAGCCAAAGCTGTCTTCTACTTAAATATGCAGAGATATGAAGTGATTTAATTTCTTTATTACATTGCGGCAGATGTCGGAATGAAGCTACTTCACAGGTACCGATTCGATCCACGAAACTTGTCAAATTGAAGGAGATTTTGGTAGCAAATATTTTTTTAATAATAATTTTAATATACTTTTTTTTTTGAAAGCATTAAGTAAAAGTAATGAAGCAACAATTAAGGTTCGAGTAATTATAAACTTACTTTTGTGTTATTAAAAATGTTATTTGACTTTTTTTTAAATTTTCTAAATTTTACTCACCTACAGCCCGCCATAAGGTTAATAGATTTTCAATAGTTGGAACCATATATTTCAGAATACATATATCTTCTAGCCACTTGTTGGTTTATGGATATATCGTTTAGGCACCCAAAATTGACTTTAATTTATAAGCATTCAACCGAAAAAATTGATCCATTAATTACAACTTAGATAAGTCTATGCGTTGGGAATATAAAAGTTAGAGCGGCCACCAGTGCCTGACGTAGTCTTAAATAGAACTCAGGAACTAAGGAGGCTTAAATCTATTTTTTGTCATGTTAGTCGCTTCGATTGGTCTTACCCTGCTGCTGCAAGTCAGTTCAATAGCAGGACAAGGATACCAAGTATATGGATCACCCAATGTGCAGGTTATATACCCGACTTCGTCGCAGGTTCAAGTCATAGGCTCAAGACCGTTCTTCCGGCGCGGGATATGGGAAATTGTAAGAAATCTTACGATCACTGCAAATGCAACTAGCCAGGATGTACAATTTGTCAGTCCTTCGGCCAACGCAAATATTGCGTTGTCAAGTAACCACAATTCCGGGAACGCTCCTCTACGAAATCTTCTGAGAAACCTGTTTGGTCGCCAGCCCAATATCCAATATGTGAACCTGAATAGCAGAGCCTTCAACGACCGTTCCCAGGAGCCACAGTACTGGGGTAATTATCAGCCCTTTGCCAGTCCAGTGGCTTTGCCCCGCACACGGGTTAAGTTTGTGCGACAGGGTGTGCCTCGCCGGATTTTGGTACGGAATCTCAAGTCCAGCCAGGCTCAGATGACCAATGTGGAAACTTACAGGATTCCTGTTTTCGAGGACGAATGGCAGGTGAGCGGGATATAGAGCCATGAATTAAACTTAACTATAATCCATTTTTCCTTCAGTATGACACGACATTTTCCGAATAATATCCTGATTTCGAAACTTGCTACGAAATTAAAGTCGACTCTTAGGAGAAAACCTACATTCTTTATAAACAAAAAAAAAAATAAAATATAAATTTAAAACAAAAATGTTTACTAAGTAAATGTAGAGAATTTTACTATTGAATACGAAATATGATATGATGCTTCCTTAAAATAGCGAACTTATAAAAACTTCAAATGCCCCTTAGGAATGATTTTGTTGTATAGGATTTATATGTTTTGTTGGTTCAAATTTTCTTTTAATGCTTAGCTCAGACATCGACGGTCTATATCCCTTATGACCATTTTCAGTTCGGCGCAAAAAAGTAGAAAGCAATTGCTTTCTTAACTTCAGAGGGATAACTAATTAACGCAAGATGATTTTTGTAAATTAGTTTAAATGTCTACATAGTTATAACTTTCAGGTGTAAAAACCAAAACAAAAAACCAGTTTCGATAGCAGCAGTAGCCCTAACAAAGCATTCACCGGGTTATAATCTTTGTTGATGATTCAGTTCCAATAAACCGATTGTAAACGAATTAAAAAGGTAAACAAAATGCAAAAAAAAAAAAAAAGAAAGAAACTTAAGAGAGACTCGATCGATTTCTCCGATCGCGAACTTATTAATGAACCTAAATTAGCTTTTACATATCATCGGGTGCAAATATTTGCTAAATATGCAAGACCAATGCCCAGACAGAGTTAGTTCAAAGGCGAACGCGTTTCGAAATGAAACAAATCGGATTTCTACTGTGCTTAGTGGTATGGACCAGTATTCGAGTAAGTGCAGGTCCCGTGAGTTCAGAGCAGGAACAGATCCGAACAGCTTTACCATGGCTTCTACTACTGGGATACCCGGGAGCCCTGGCACAGGTTCCCATCCGCCGACCGCAAGATGAGACAATCACCGGCACAAACAGTGCGATTATAAGGCAACCACAGTCGGATGAGATGGTGAACTCTCAGCAGTCGAGTAATTTGGTACGCGAGCAATTCCTGCAAGGAATTCTACAGGGACTACAGCAGTCAGGAGCCGGAACGGGTGCACCCACAATTTCCCCCGCTTTGCTGGCAGACTTTGTTGCTCAGGCCACCACAACAACTCGGAAGCCGGCGGTTGAGAAAGATTTAAACGGTAACGATGAGGACTACGACTATATAGACTTTAAGAACGGATCTCGCATTAAATATGATTTGGACGAGGTTGAGCAGCCGGTAAACAAAATTCTTCAGCAGACTACAAGCCGTCCAGCTACGGCTCGCCCGCAAAGCAGTGCAAGCGTCCTCTTTTATACACCTCCAACTAGATATGTATACTACAGACCTATATATAGGCCTGCCTCATATTACTACCGAGTTGGCTAAGCAAATATTACTAATCAGTGGAGATCAATAAAGATAAATTAGTCTATTAGCGATGTCTTGTAATAAAGGCCCGTTAAGTAGAACTTTCGTATTATGACAGGCCATTAGTCCGCTAAGTTATGCGAAATAAGCTTTCGGTTCACTTCTGTGATTTCACTATTCAAAACAATAAAAATTCAAATTACCGATTCGGATCATCACCAAGCCCAGTTCGAAATTTGATTTGACGCCCGTGTTCCAGTCCGGTCTTTTGTAGGTCTAGAGACAATCCACTTTATGACACCCGACAGACCGTATAAAACTGTTCGCATTTAGAAGCCGTCATTTTAGTTCTGAACTAACCGGAGCACCGTAGAATCTCTCTTCATAATGCTGATAAAAGCCATAGGACTGCTGTTCCTGCTTGCTGGTCAAGCTTGGGGGCAGTCCATTAGTTTTCCTGTTTACACCGTAGGAAGTATTGTCTCGGCTTTAACTGGAGGCGGTGGAGGCAGTGGAGGAGGTGGAGGAGGTGGAGGAGGTGCAGGACGTCCTTCAAGCAGCAGCAACAACGCTCAAGCTCAAGCGGACTACACTGACTATCTAAATCAATATTATAGCAATCTATGGCAACAGTACTACCAAGCTCAGCAGTACTACCAAGCTCAGGAGGCTTACAACCAGTATTACAACTATTACTATGGACCCTTCGGCCCTAACGCAAACAATGGACAAGGACCGCAGCCAGTACCGGAATCAACCACTGCAGCTCCTGTCACACCGCCGTCAACTCCAATGACCTCTACTGCCCTTCCTACAAGTACGGGAACGCCAACGACCTCTACTGCCCTTCCTACAAGTACGGGAACGCCAACGACCTCTACTGCCCTTCCTACAAGTACGGGAACGCCAATTATTTCAACCGCTGTAGCCGGCGAATCTACAACCACAGCAGCTCCACCTACTTCAACTGCAGTTGCTACTTCTCCAGGATCCGACACCACTTCCACTGCAGTAGCCACCACACCCACAACGACAGCTTCACCAACAACTTCTACGGCAGTTGCTACTACAGCAGGATCCGACGCCACCTCCACTGCGGTGGCCACCACTCCCACAACTACAGCATCTCCGACAACTTCCACTGCTGTGGCACCCGCAAACACCGATACGACTTCAACGGCAGTGGCGAATATGCGGTCTCAAACTACGCCTCTGCCCTACCACTATGTTCCCAGCGCTCTGAACAGTCCCTATGATCTGCACCGCATCAGTTCCAACCCAATTTACGTCCGTGGCTCCGCAGTGGCTTCGTCTGCAGCTCAGTCGTCGCCAGTATATATACCATACGAAAACATTTACCGTGGGGGACAGCCGTCTCCATACTTTGCATATGGCGGAAAAAAATAGAAGACTCATAGAACGAAAAATCTTTGGTGTAACTTACACATGCGACAATTAATTTATTCAATAAAAACGAACAAAAGAAAGCAAAAAACTATTTGCATTTCTTTCTCCAGATAATTGATTCCAAATCTAGGAAACGACGTTTTCAGAAGCAGAAGTCACACCACAAAAACGTGCCGAATGAATGGCTAAGTCTAAATGGTAAAGCTAAGAACTAATTAGCATCAGCTGCACCGATTACGATGTTCGCTAAGGCTCGAAACTTCCAAAATCTATAAACAGTTAAAATTTATGAAGTTAGATCTATTCAACCTTTTGTTACTATACATAAATAGTATTATTTTAATTTTATGACTTCAGTGGCTTGTATAAAGCTCCAGGTGTCCAGCCGCTATCAAATCAGTTCTAGGTTAACCAGAGCTCCGACTTATCTCAGCTCGGAATGATATTAAATACCGTCGGTTTGTTGATCCTGCTTGCCAGTCAGGCTTGGGGGCAGTCAATAAAAATAAGAATACCTGTGTGGGATGCTTCAACTATATTCACGCGAATCACCGGACTTGGAATCAACTTAGGAAACAATAACAATCCAAGCCCATCGAATAATAACCAGCAGTATAACGAATACACTGATTATTTGAACGACTATTATAATAACTATTGGGCAAATGCATACCAGAATCCAGGACAATATGATCCATATGGATATGGATACTTCGGACCATATGGCCCCTATGACCCCAACGAATTTCAAACTACAACAACACCTTTTCCATTGACTACAACTGCTGATGTGACAATATCAACTCAAGCTCCAACGACTATACCAACATCAACAAATCCACCCATAACTACAGAAACTGCGTCGACAACTGAAAGCCCGATAACGTCTTCTGCGATTCCCACATCAACAACACCAGATTCATCCACAACATCAACTACAAGTTCAACAACGGAGTCCGCATCGACAACTGAAAGCCCAATAACGTCTACTGCGACTCCCACATCAACAACACCAGATTCATCCACAACATCCACAACATCGACAACTGAAAGCCCGATAACGTCTACTGCAATTCCCACATCCACAACAACAGACTCATCCACATCATCCACTACAAGTTCAACAACGGAGTCCGCATCGACAACTGAAAGCCCAATAACATCTACTGCCATTTCCACATCCACAACATCCACTACAAGTTCAACAACAGAATCTTCAACTACAACTGAAAGTCCGATAACGTCTACTGCAATTCCCACATCCACAACAACAGACTCATCCACATCATCCACTACAAGTTCAACAACGGAGTCCGCATCCACAACTGAAAGCCCGATAACGTCTACTGCGATTCCCACATCCACAACATCCACTACAAGTTCAACAACAGAATCTTCAACTACAACTGAAAGCCCGATAACGTCTACTGCAATTCCCACATCCACAACAACAGACTCATCCACATCATCCACTACAAGTTCAACAACGGAGTCCGCATCCACAACTGAAAGCCCAATAACGTCTACTGCGATTCCCACATCAACAACACCAGATTCATCCACAACATCGACAACTGAAAGCCCGATAACGTCTACTGCAATTCCCACTTCAACAACACCAGATTCAACCACAACATCAACTACAAGTTCAACAACGGAGTCCGCATCGACAACTGAAAGCCCAATAACATCTACTGCCATTCCCACATCCACAACATCCACTACAAGTTCAACAACAGAATCTTCAACTACAACTGAAAGCCCGATAACGTCTACTGCAATTCCCATATCCACAACAACAGACTCATCCACATCATCCACTACAAGTTCAACAACGGAGTCCGCATCCACAACTGAAAGCCCAATAACGTCTACTGCGATTCTCACATCAACAACACCAGATTCATCCACAACATTCACAACATCGACTACTGAAAGCCCGATAACGTCTACTGCAATTCCCACTTCAACAACACCAGATTCATCCACAACATCAACTACAAGTTCAACAACGGAGTCCGCATCGACAACTGAAAGCCCAATAACATCTACTGCCATTCCAACATCCACAACATCCACTACAAGTTCAACAACAGAATCTTCAACTACAATTGAAAGCCCGATAACGTCTACTGCAATTCCCACGTCCACAACAACAGACTCATCCACTACAAGTTCAACAACGGAGTCCGCATCCACAACTGAAAGCCCGATAACGTCTACTGCGATTCCCGCATCAACAACACCAGATTCATCCGCAACATCGACAACTGAAAGTCCGATAACGTCTACTGCAATTCCCACATCCACAACAACAGACTCATCCACATCATCCACTACAAGTTCAACAACGGAGTCCGCATCGACAACTGAAAGCCCAATAACATCTACTGCGATTCCCACATCCACAACATCCACTACAAGTTCAACAACAGAATCTTCAACTGCAACTGAAAGCCCGATAACGTCTACTGCGATTCCCACATCAACAACACCAGATTCTTCGACAACATCCACTACAAGTTCAACAACGGAGTCCGCATCGACAACTGAAAGCCCGATAACGTCTACTGCAATTCCCACATCCACAACAACAGACTCATCCACATCATCCTCTACAAGTTCAACAACGGAGTCCGCATCGACAACTGAAAGCCCAATAACATCTACTGCGATTCCCACATCCACAACATCCACTACAAGTTCAACAACAGAATCTTCAACTACAACTGAAAGTCCGATAACGTCTACTGCAATTCCCACATCCACAACAACAGACTCATCCACAACATCGACTTTAAGTTCAACAACAGAATCTTCAACTACAGCTGAAAGCCCAATAACGTCTACTGCGATTCCCACATCAACAACACCAGATTCTTCGACAACATCCACGACAAGTCCAACAACGGAATCCGCATCGACAACTGAAAGCCCAATAACATCTACTGCGATTCCCACATCCACAACATCCACTACAAGATCAACAACAGAATCTTCAACTGCAACTGAAAGCCCGATAACGTCTACTGCTATTCCCACATCCACAACGACAGACTCATCCACATCATCCACTACAAGTTCAACAACGGAGTCCGCATCGACAACTGAAAGCCCGATAACGTCTACTGCGATTCCCACATCAACAACACCAGATTCTTCCACAACATCCACTACAAGTCCTACAACGGAATCCACATCAACAACTGAAAGCCCAATAACATCTACTGCAATTCCCACATCAACAACACCAGATTCATCCACAACATCCACAACATCGACAACTGAAAGCCTGATAACGTCTACTGCAATTCCCACTTCAACAACACCAGATTCATCCAGAACATCAACTACAAGTTCAACAACGGAGTCCGCATCGACAACTGAAAGCCCAATAACATCTACTGCCATTCCAACATCCACAACATCCACTACAAGTTCAACAACAGAATCTTCAACTACAATTGAAAGCCCGATAACGTCTACTGCAATTCCCACGTCCACAACAACAGACTCATCCACTACAAGTTCAACAACGGAGTCCGCATCCACAACTGAAAGCCCGATAACGTCTACTGCGATTCCCGCATCAACAACACCAGATTCATCCACAACATCGACAACTGAAAGTCCGATAACGTCTACTGCAATTCCCACATCCACAACAACAGACTCATCCACATCATCCACTACAAGTTCAACAACGGAGTCCGCATCGACAACTGAAAGCCCAATAACATCTACTGCGATTTCCACATCCACAACATCCACTACAAGTTCAACAACAGAATCTTCAACTACAACTGAAAGCCCGATAACGTCTACTGCGATTCCCACATCGACAACGACTGACTCATCCACAACATCCACTACAAGCTCAACAACAGAATCGTCAACTGCAACTGAAAGCCCGATAACGTCTACTGCGATTCCCACATCGACAACACCAGATTCTTCGACAACATCCACTACAAGTTCAACAACGGAGTCCGCATCGACAACTGAAAGCCCGATAACGTCTACTGCAATTCCCACATCCACAACAACAGACTCATCCACATCATCCTCTACAAGTTCAACAACGGAGTCCGCATCGACAACTGAAAGCCCAATAACATCTACTGCGATTCCCACATCCACAACATCCACTACAAGTTCAACAACAGAATCTTCAACTACAACTGAAAGTCCGATAACGTCTACTGCAATTCCCACATCCACAACAACAGACTCATCCACAACATCGGCTTTAAGTTCAACAACAGAATCTTCAACTACAGCTGAAAGCCCAATAACGTCTACTGCGATTCCCACATCAACAACAACAGACTCATCCACATCATCCACTACAAGTTCAACAACGGAGTCCGCATCGACAACTGAAAGCCCGAAAACGTCTACTGCGATTCCCACATCAACAACACCAGATTCTTCGACAACATCCACGACAAGTCCAACAACGGAATCCGCATCGACAACTGAAAGCCCAATAACATCTACTGCAATTCCCACATCCACAACATCCACTACAAGTTCAACAACAGAATCTTCAACTACAACTGAAAGCCCGATAACGTCTACTGCGATTCCCACATCAACAACACCAGATTCACCCACAACATCCACTACAAGTCCAACAACGGAGTCCGCATCGACAACTGAAAACCCGATAACGTCTACTGCGATTCCCACATCAACAACACCAGATTCTTCCACAACATCCACTACAAGTCCAACAACGGAATCCGCATCGACAACTAAAAGCCCAATAACATCTACTGCGATTCCCACATCCACAACATCCACTACAAGTTCAACAACAGAATCTTCAACTACAACTGAAAGCCCGATAACGTCTACTGCGATTCCCACATCAACAACACCAGATTCACCCACAACATCCACTACAAGTCCAACAACGGAGTCCGCATCGACAACTGAAAACCCGATAACGTCTACTGCGATTCCCACATCAACAACACCAGATTCTTCCACAACATCCACTACAAGTCCAACAACGGAATCCGCATCGACAACTAAAAGCCCAATAACATCTACTGCGATTCCCACATCCACAACATCCACTACAAGTTCAACAACAGAATCTTCCAATGCAACTGAAAGTCCGATAACGTCTACTGCAATTCCCACATCAACAACAACAGATTCATCCACAACATCCACTACAAGTCCAACAACGGAGTCTGCATCGACAACTGAAGGCCCATCAACATTAATTTGCATAACTTTCCCTGAACTTCCTATTTGTCAGTCTGCCAAAGCATTGAGCTTTGAATTAAGTAAACCTGGGATGTCTGATATTGCGGCATCGGGCACTGTATTTAAGCCAGAGCAACCACTGGCAATAACTTCGATGCCCCAATCAGTGACTTCGCTCTGTTTCTTTTACCCTCGTCTGTGCCTGAAACCGGAGGAAGCCCAATTTGTTCGTCTCACCGACAGAAATGGAAAGCCCCTGTTGCTGATATCACCGGTTGAAGGACGATCCGCTCAATCTCAACAGCAACCAGCTCTTTGGCGTGCTATAAGTAGAACCATTAGACAACATGACTAAACTATCAAGTAGGCTAGGTAGGCATATAACGGAAAATATTATCTTTGGCCGAGTAGAGATATCAGGCAAGGAACGACCATAATCTGCTATAAATAAAAGACAAAAATTATATTTAAATTAAAAATTTGAAACAAATCGAAAATTCTTAAGTTAATATAGTGCGGAATGATACTGCAATATAGATACATACGAGAAATTCTAAAAACTATTTGCAGGATAAAAAGCAATGAAAAATATAGATTATTATTATTTTTTGATGAAAAAAATAGGGTCAGAGATGTCACCATCTCTGCGTCAACCCAATGTGTTTTGAAATGTGCCAGATTGAAAACTCGCTACGTGCCCAAGTACTAAAAATTGCCTTCAACATGTAGCTAAATATTTATTTCATATTTAAAATATGCTAATTTTATTAAAAGCTTTAGTTATTTTGAAAATGTTGGTATTAGTACAGCACAGAAATATAAATACGGAATTCTCCAATAAAAAGCAGCTTGTCTAACACTTTGACTAAGAAAGAACGTCGAACATTGTTGCTTTGTTCAATGGCAAACAATCAACCAGCTCTATTGACAATTGTATTAAATATAAAGCCATTGGGTCGCCTATTGCTCTGGGGCATCATCAGTGGTTTTTTAAAATTCTGATAAGTCTATAAAAACGTTATTAAACATTTTAGTAAGCTCAGTTTGGTTCAAGGCTTTAAAGTAACCTTATCGATTCGAGATGTTTTCGAGATACGCGTTCTATATATTAGTGATCACAATACCAGTATGGGGTGACGGTCCAGGAGGATCTTCCAGGTTGAACATGCCACTCTGGGATGTAAGTGATTTTTACTCACGGTTATTTGGCGCAGCAAGCACCACCCAACCTCCACAGGCGTCCCAAGGAAATCCATCCGCAGCTGCTCCTTGGAACGCTTATTACAACGCGCTAATTCAGGAAGCTTACCACAAAAAGAATGGGTTATACTCTTCAAGCAATCTGCAACCTGTTGATCCTTTGCCTCTGCCTGTACCTGTCCCAATGCCCCTCCCTCGTCCCCCTCGGCCTCTAAGGCCTCTGAGGCCTCAACTTCCGAATCGGCCAAGACCAAGGCCAACTAGAAATCCCACTAAAAGAAGCACGACAACCAGGCGGCCAACTACAACTACTATAAAAACAACAACCACATCAACGGCATCTTCAGTTTCTGTATCGAGTTCTTCATCCACTAGTGTTCCTACAACAACTGAGACGGTTAACAGCACAACAATCGCACCCACATCCAATTCAACGACAGAACAATCATCGACAACGGGAGGATCCTCTACAACAGAAGGCTCTTCCACTATAGGAATCAGAGGAAATAAACTAAAACAAGCTACTACAGGCAACCCGTTATATTCGTATCATAGTCAACTGCAAAGTAGTGCCGTTTTAACTCCAACGGTTCTAAGTTTCGAGGGACAACCAACCTCCTCTGGCTCCCTCCGTCCTGAGTTGCAATTAACTGTGCAGTCGGAGCCTCAGTCCATGACGACGCTGTGCCAAAACTATCCACGACTGTGTTCGCAGCCCGAAGAAGCGCAATATGTAAGGCTAACTGACGGATTTGGCAAGCCTATGCTTCTAATATCGCCTGGAGGCGTAGCTAAACCTGCACTTTTTACGACCACAATTGCACGTCCCCTTTACTCAAAACCAAGGCCTTTGGGTTTGCGGCCACCCCGACGAAAGAATCCCTCTAGGAGTAAATATATTTACCGTTTAATCAAAACAAAGAATAAGCAACGACTCTAACTAATTTCTGTTTAAATCAAATAAACAACCTACAAATCATTTTATATTGAACCAAAATATATACTAGAACAATACATTTAAGAATAAATACTTTTGAGTAAAAAAACAAAAAAGTTTGACCCCAACGTGGTCTTAAATGAAATTTATGGCAGCAGTTTTATTTATAGCTATTTAGCTTAATTCTTAAGTTTTTTTAAGATAAACCTAAAACGACTTTTAACAATCACTTCACGGTTTTCATTTCGCGCAAAGGCACGATGACCGCTTGGTGGAAGATGAGCATTTTTATCGAAAAAACATATTTTCAGATGAAGCTATTTACACTATGAGTAACGGGGATAGAAATTCAAAATATCATCCCGTTTTTGTATAGCCATCTTAAAACGCAAAGTTTTTGTGGGCTAACCTATATAGGCGTAATTGATATTTTATTTTTCCCAACTATGCAAAAAGCATGCAATGAATTGATGTAACTTTCCGATTAACTGAGAACTACAATGCAAGCTGCTGATATCAGTGCCTTCCCAAGCATGAAGAACCCGTTTCAGATCCAATCGAACTAAAGACAGCCATATCCATAGTAGACAACAAAACTACTTGCTAGATTTTGACTAGGATGACAGAGATAAAGATTACAAATAAGCTTGTAGTCAATAAATTATTATGTTCTGAAAGCCACCAGTCTCACTACTAGCTTATCACAAAAATAGAATGAACCCATGAAAATGCCAATACCGTGGAGTAAATAAAATAATGAGTTTAAGGATTGACCGAAATAGTTCTTAGTTTGTTGGCCTCTTATTTTATTGTCATTAGTGATTAATAATCCACTTTCATGGAACATTATGGAATATAAAAAGGCGTTAATGACCACTCCACACCAGTCTGTGCTTTAACTGGGAGCATGCAACTGCTAAGAAGTGTTGTCTTATGGATCTGGCTAGCAGCAGCTGGACCTAAATGTCTTATTTCGTTAACCGCGGGCTATCAGGTCCAAGTCCGTATACCCGTGTGGGATGTTGGAGGCATTATCTCACGTGTTACGGGTCTTACCAAGGGGCAAGCCAACAATCAGAAGAAGAAAGATCGACCCAACTATGAAGAGTATTGGGCGCCCTCATATGGATACTATGATCCTTCACCGCCAATTTATCCGCCGCCACCTTACTATCCATATCCTCCGTATGTGCCACCCACCAGTCCGCCGTGGCCAACACCTGGACCACCAACTAAGCCACCAACGAAGCCACCAACAAAACCACCAACAAAACGTCCAACTAAGCCACCAACTAAGCCACCAACTAAGCCACCAACCAAGCCACCAACCAAGCCACCAACAAAACCACCAACTAAGCCACCAACTAAGCCACCAACGAAGCCACCAACTAAGCCACCAACGACAACAGAGCCTCCAACCGATTCAACAACTGATGTGACAACGGAGATAACAACAGACTCAACAACGGACGCAACCACTGATTCAACAACTGTTGTGACAACGGAGATAACAACAGACGCAACAACGGACGCAACAACTGATTCAACAACTGTTGTAACAACGGACGCAACAACTGATTCAACAACTGTTGTAACAACGGACGCAACAACTGTTGTTACCACGGACGCAACAACGGATGCAACCACTGATGCAACAACTGTTGTAACCACGGACGCAACAACGGACGCAACAACGGATGCAACCACTGATGCAACAACTGTTGTAACAACGGACGCTACAACAGAAGCAACAACGGACGCAACAACAGACGCAACAACGGACGCAACAACTGAGGCACCAACAAATCCTCCTATCCGAAACCTCTGTTCAATATATCCCTACCTTCCAGAGTGTCAGAAAATGAAATCAGTGCACCTGAAAAACAATAATTTAAGCAATGTTTTTCAGCCCGAACAGAAGCTCTCGATCGAAACTATGCCACACTCGGTGACATCGCTTTGTTTCTACTATCCCCGCTTGTGCATGAAGCCCGAAGAAGCTCAGTTCGTAAGATTGTCGGACAAGAACGGAAGACCGTTGCTTTTAATATCCCCAGTTGATGGGAAACCATCGCAATCTTTGGCGCAGAATAGGTTTCGGCCAAACGGAAAAAGAGTTTCTTAGCCATTAACATCCGCAAATCGAATAATTAAAAGATGACCGTTTTTAAAATGAATAAATAACATATTTTATATGAATCAAATCTGTCTCTGATTCTTTTTATTTATATAATAATCCATTATTTTTAACAGACCTAATACCATGTATTGCTTTGTTGAACCTCTCCTCCAATTTTGTAAAATCGATCCACAGCAGCAAATTTTCTGTTAAAATTCACAACTTTTAAGGTTTAAATGCAAATCTTTTTTAAGGTCAACAAAATGAAATAAAGTTGGCTCAACACGTCTGGATTCAACGAATATTAGATAATTGGGTTGATGATCGATAAACGTTGGTTTTTTTGGCAAATGTATTCCCGAATTTCATGTGGAATCTGAACTTAACACGTGCTTTTGCTATCCAAACCTCTGTTCTAGCCCGAGGAGTCACTATTCGTTTCTGTCATTGAATGCGAGATGGCAGTACAAGCTGGGAGGGAAATAAACAAACTGCCCTCAGGGCTTTTAAACAATGGATGACTGAGACCCACGCGAAGACCTGACTGGCAGAGACCATAAAAAACATATCTTACCGAGCGATCGAAATTAACAAAGCTGATATAATCTGCGATAAATACAGTTCTTGAAGCTTAAATTAAATCAAAACACTAAATTACAGGGCATTGAAACTGCAATGGTAATTATTAAAATCAGTAGGGGCTATCAGAAATTTAAATAAGAAATGACTAATAATATTTCGTAAGATACAAATTCTACTTTCTATATGATGCCCATTGGAACTTCATCCGCAATTCTTTTCACATGACAAAGTTGACAGCACTTCAATCGACTCTATTCAAGCAAACAGGTTTCAGTTGCCCCACTCCACTTGGTCATCTTTCCAATTCGACCAGTCCAAGTTCGGCTTCCTGAGGAGGTGGTAGGTGAAGTGGAAATGTGCTCCGTCGTTGGCTTTCGAGCCCTGTTCACGTTTTGCATTCTAGTTCTGTGGTGCGAAGCTGCCCCTACGATCCAAGATGAGGCACTGCAGCAACTCAGGCAGCTGACTTTGACCCAGGCGAAGCTCATTGCGGATAATTCTTCCGCCAAGTGTAGTCTTACCCCAAATCTTTGCGGCTGGCAACTGCATCTGTACGAGGGCCACGGATTCAGTGTGCCACTTATCCAGCCCGTGCAAAATCCCACCACGCGAGCACCGTCGAATGTTGCTCAAGAAGTCTTTGGATTGACCCGTCAAGAAAATGGACCGCAGCTGTTTATTGTGGCCGATGTTGAGCCCAAGTCGAGACGAAAAGTGCGAGGAAAAAGAAAACTCCGACGACGAGCCACTCTTAATTACTTGAGTAAACAAAAATTTGTCTTGCTGGTCGTTCAATAAATAACCAAAATAAATATACACACTTTAATCATTTACATTATCATCTCTCATTAAGCCCAATCAATCAGGGGCAGAGATTTATTTCGGCTGACTCACAATTCGGAGGCAGCCAGTCTGTGAAATAAATTCCGCAGACATAAAAAAGATTCTGAGCTCATTAATGTCGGCTCGATTCACGCTTTACCTGCCGTGAACTCTTTGGGCCGCGCATGGAAGCCGTCCGACCACTTTCAACTTTAACCTGCGACGCGTTGGGTCTAATGCCCATTAAGCTGTCTTCAAGTATTTAACTAGAAGTATGCCGGCACGGTTCTGGCATCCTCTATTTGTTTATTCAAATATGAATAGATGGGTTTTTAAGTGCCCAGACGAGTTATTGTTTTTGATCAGGGGACTTTTAATTAAGTCATCTTTGTTGACGCATTAAATAGAGATGTTGATGACTGTGCTGTGAAGTGATGGTTATTATGATTAATAGGGGCAGATATTTTAACTAAAAGTAAAAGTGGGTAAAAGGAAGGGGGAGTTAAAATGGGGGTTTGAAAGTATTAGTGGTTTAATAATCCTTTTACTTAATCAATATTCATTGTCTGTTTTATTACAAATCATTGTGACCATAAAACAGAAATGGTCACATTGCCGACTTACTAGCTATTTGATCAGTACACAAAGTTGATTTCTAGCGGAAATTCAATTCACCGTTCGGTCGGACACCCTATAAACACTAGTCCCGAAACCCCGAATACCCAAAGGGCCCGACCGTCGAAAACTCTGGCTTCACATATCATCCGTGGCACGTTCGTCGTCAGCATCATCGGCGATGGTATCATAAATCGTATTCAGAAATTTTCTAATTTCCGCATACGGGAGAATCTGCCACCAATTTGTCGTAGTTTCAATTTCCTCCTCCATTACTCCCGCGTTTGCAGGACGTCGCTGTGATTCCTGGCGACGTTTATCTTTGCCCTTACCCTTGCCCTTACCCTTGCTTTTCGTTGTTAAGGGACGATGCGTGCTGATTTCCGGTGATTGTGTTTCCAATTCCTTCGTCGGTTGCTTCGCCTTCGATGGACCACGACTTGGTCTCAGGATTGGGTTAGTTTCAGGGGATGGAGCTGCAGGAGCTGGGCTGGTGACAGCTTGGCTCGCTGACATCTTTGTATCAGTTTCATTGGACAACTTTGCTGCTGTTGGAGTTTGCTTTCGCTTGGCCTTCGGTCGAGGGGTTCGGGCTCTGGTTTCGTCCTTCCTCTTCTTGCCGGAGTGAACCTTTGTGCTCGTGTCACCGGCATTCTCCGCTGTCGGCCTGCTGACAAGCTGCTGCATTCCTGTCGATGCCATATCGATAATTGTCCCACTCGGGGCCATAGTTTTTTTCACACTTGTCAGGGACTCCGCCGCAGGAGCTGTCGTCGTGGCGTCTGAGACTGGGCCATCTTTTTTGCCGATGCTATCCTGTCCAAGCATGGTTTCTGTTTCTGCTGCATTGTGTTCGGGAAGCTCTGGCAGTGTCAGCTTCACCTTTAGCGGCTCCTGCTGCTCCTCCTGGTGCTGCCTTTGGGCCATAACTTCCTCGACGATTGGTTTACGTTCATGGTCGGTAGTCAGGGTATTCAATTGCACTATCTTCTTGGTCCCTACACTTTGCACATGGAACTCGTTCGAGTATAAATTCTCCTGTGCGTGCAGACCCGAGTTCATTTGCAGCGGCATCAATTGCATATTTATGGCCGAGTTCTCAATTGTTTTGCTTAGCTCGCTGGCTCGACTCTGTCCTGCCACTGCCAGGACCTCAAACTCATCGTCAAGGTTCCTATAGTGGGACCTCTGGTCGGCGGATCGGCGACTGTTTTGGGAGATCTGCTGCAGTAGGTGATCCATGGGGGGCGGATCCGCCGAAGATCCACTGGCCATCGCCCGGCGACCGGCGAGGTTCATCCGAGGCTTGTTGTAGGCATAGACATCGACGTTGAAAACTCCGTGGGAGGGGGCTCGACGCCAGTGTCGGGCAGGAGTGGCTGCAGGAAAAGGTAGTGAGCAATCACTGTACTTTCACTTAAACACCGTTTAGGGGGCTTACCTTTGGCCACAAAGGCACACGACTGGATTAGCAACAGCAGCAGGGGCAGCTTCATTCTGGCTAATACATATTTTAGGCGTTGGCCCCGGCTACGACTAAACCGATTTTGGACCACTCGACCAATTTTATGGCCATCCGATTTGGGTCAGTCCGCAACTAATTTGCATTGGCGATTCATGTTCGCCAATGTTCTAGGAATGTGAAAACACAGTGGACCCCACCGAAGCTCAAACCGATTGAAATCTAACATGTATGGACATGGAATCTCGTCGACGTGACGGTTCACTGTTCAGGGGAACTGGTTTTCCTGAATCGATTCCGAGCAACGGCACTTTTGACTTTTGCCAAGACACAATGGTTTAGTTTCGGCCCTGTTGTCAATGGCCAAGTTAATGCCGTGCCATAAAATATAATTGTGTTGCCACATTGGTCGAGCCTTGGCCAGTTTGTGTTTTCGGTTGCTTGGTCAAAAGTAGCGAAAGTTGAAAGTTGTGCTTAGCATTACAATGCCTGCTAATGGAAAGTAATTGCCAGCGAATTCCGGAGAATGCAAAACAAGAATCCATTAATTTTAAAATATTCTTAAATTCACGTTTGATTGAAACTCTTAATCATCTATGAAATTTTTTTAGAAATTCCAAGAAAATTGAATTTTTATCAAAACAAATCTTGAGCTTCTAAAGATTTTACAAATAGAATATGATGGCTTTCTTTAATTCAAAACGATTCCATTTAATTTTTAAATCATATATCTGGATAAAACACTTTAATAAATTAGGCTTTTTTAAAAGCAACTAAAACCGAAAACTATTAATTTGGAAGAACTTTTATGCGTACAAAGGTTATTCAAAACCTAAACAAAAATTTTAAAAAATAGAAGTTTTTATTTATTTTTTTAGTGACAAATGCTAAAAAAACGAAATTATAATTGCCCTGCAAGAAAAATGGAAATTTAATTCGAACAACCATTCGGAAAAGTGATTTGCTTTAAAGAGCTTGTCAAAAACAGTTGACCAAGAGTCAGCAAGAAGCAAACAAACAGCGGGTAAACAAGCCAACCCGAGAACAGAACGGCTGACAGTTTCCACTCGGAGCACTTAAGATAACTTTGCGACGAGCCAGGCCGGATCACGGGGGCGGCGGGGCGTGGTTGGCGGTCTGAGCTGAGCTGATGATGTCCACCACCAGTGGCAGATTTATGAAAACTGTTGACATTTAGTTCTTCGAACCGTAAACTCTGAGCGGACTCAAGGCAGCGGAATTTACATTCAAACAATGCAGGCCGCAGCAGCAGGACCACACTGCACAGGACATAATGCAAAAGGAATCGAAGGAGAGAAAAAGCGGCCAGCAGAAAGCGAACAGTGAAAAAAGCCAGATGACAGGCGGCCAAGGAGGACAAAGGCAATTGTGCTGGCATGTGAAGGAAGGCCTGTAAGAGGCGAGTGCTGAAAAAACGGGCGAAATCTCTATCCTTGATGCGCTGCAAAAAAAAAAATTATTAGAATTCAATATTTTCTTACCTTTTTCCTTTCGATAAATAATATTTTTAATCTAAACTGGCACCATTTGTAAATTTCGATAATTGTAATTGTAAGCACTAAACTTATTTGCAAAAATATTATTATCTCAATTCCATTCAACGTTCATGGGACCATAATCACAGAAACAAATTTTCATGAACAATTTAGTTACTTAAACAAAAGGCTTGCTTAAAATACAATAATTTTGAATTTTGTCTTTATTCCAGTGTAATTTATTGCCTTTACTCTGTGTTATATGCAATTCGAATGGCGTCGAATTTTATGTAAATATCTGGTTTATTAAGGGAACTGCGCAGATAATGCGATTGAATAGAGGGTGAACCTTCAAAAAGGATAAACACAAAAATTGCTTCGATGGGAGAAGTCAGAAAGTGTCTACAGGAAACAGTTGCAATACCAACCTTACGTAATCTGAAGTGGCACTTTTGATTCTTCAATCGAGTTGAGGGCATGGAAAAGACGATGACATATCCGCTGACGTTGAAATGCCTTGCACTGGACAAGTGCTATGCGAATGAGGATGAGGATGGGGTTGCGGGGCAGGCCTATGCAAATAAAAACAAGGAGAGGCCGGGCGAGTTGAGCGGTGACGAAATGAGAGGGAATGAAAACAAACGGGCTTAGCACTAAGAAAAAAATTTTATCACAATACCGGTATATTTATAAAGTCTCAAAAAAATTTTAAATTTTTCCATTTACATTCCAATTTTTAGCAATAAAATTTTAAAAAGTAATGTTTGTGTGGGCTAAAATGGCATACATTAATAAATTTTTCAAATTTTTTATCAATTTTGGTAGGAGGTATAGACAAAAGTTTATTTAATAAGACAACTTTTGATACATATGTTTCAAATCATTTGAACGCGGCAGGATGCAAAAACGTTTAAGAAAATTTTGTAATAGTTTAAAAAATGTTAATTCAACTTAATTAATTAGATAAAGGCAGTTGGTTTGTACACCCTAAGCATTTCATTCTTTTCAAAAATTTATTGATAGCCACTTCGGAAGCATTTTTTCCGGTGTAGTCAGAGAGCGGAGGGAGAAGATATGAAGTTACTGTTGTTGGCGTCTTAATTAAGCAGCTCAAACAGCAACAACAATTAGTCGTGTTGCGACTCAGACGAAGTTGATTGTTATTTTCGCAGTGTCCTGAGTGACAGAACGAGGTGAAAGGATAGTGAAATGCAGAGAGGGAGAGGGGAAACAGAGCTGTACTACTTGCACTTGTGGTTGGCTTACGACGAGACTTATTCAACAATTATTTCAATCGAAATTGCAGCAAGAAAATGGGTGAGAACTTTAAAACTTTTCCAATTCCACTTTAAGTTGCCGGATTGTTTACGGTTTCGGTGTTTTTCTTGTGCTGTTGTGCCAGCAGAAACACACAATTTGCTTTGTCATTAGACGAACACTTTAGGCACTCGACTGCGCTCTTTATCTCAGCCCATCTCTGTCATCTTTTGCCTTGGCTGCTCATTTCCAGCTGGCCGTTTCTTTGTCCTGCTTTTATTTGACCATTCATTTGTTGCATTCGCCTGGCCAAATAATTGGCGAGTGGGAGCGAAAGGGACGCACCTATCGGGAGGGAGCGGGACGGACTGATATCCATTCACAGCATTTTGCACATTTTCGCTTAATTTGAATTTTTCTATGCAAATGCTGTGCACCGAGGAGCGGTAACAACAGAAAAGCATCCGAAATTCAACTGTTTTTCGTTAAATAATTCTATTTTATTTTGCGTTATTTTTTTGTTCCAGCTTTCGTCTGCGCCAAATTGTTATTGCAATTTTCTTTGTGTACTTTTGTACATTTGTATATTTTGCAGCATTCGTGGTTCACTGCGCTGTCGTTTATTTGATATTTGTATTCCTCGGTGGATATATCCCCCAAAAAGGTAGTTCAACTTTCTAACAGGTCCTCTCGGTGGGGGAATACCCTCGAATTGAAGCTGGTTGGATTTGTGTAGATGATTGTTTTCAATTTTATCGACGGAAATATGGCCGTTAAATTTATAACTTTGAATAATGGGTATTCATCAACAAAAATATTTTAAAGTTACAAAGTTTTTTAATTAAATCAAAAGGGTAGGCAACCACGCTCCTTGTCCTAATTTGCAATGTTTTTGGTAAAGAAAAAGAATAAAATATAAAATACATTGTAAATTTCAACTTCCCGTATTTTACTTTGCTTTCATTGCCCATTTCGATTTATAACTTTATATTGCATTTGAATTCTCTAATGAACCATAAAGCAAAGTTGTCGTAGTTCGCTTCGATAGAAGTAAAGCTTATCTTTTCCATTTCACTCTGGTTTATCTCTTGTTTGGCTCTGATTATTTTCCTTTTCCAATTTCCGCACTTTAAGCGAGGAGAAAATGGCTTTCTGTGCGAAAGCATGCTGGCTAATTGTTATGCAAAAGCCAAAATGAGGCCATAAAAATCCGATTCCCAGCCCGAATCTGAATCCGAGTGCCGATAAACCTTCCCCCTCCGACGAGATCGCGTTTGATTTGCCGCGTGCCCTTTGCATGCCGCAAACAAACGACACTTTGATTTAGTGCAAGAACAATGGCAAGCAAACAGAACAGTGTCGGGAATAGCAGTAGTCACAGTAGCAGTGGCAAGGATTCTATGGACAATAAAACAAAACAAAGCAAATGGCCAAACAAAACGAAACCGAAATGCAGTCGGCAACTTTATGGCTGGCATAAAAACCCCCTTTCGCAGTCGTCACCCAGGCTGTCTTTATCTATTTTTTCATCCCTCCTCCGGAATCTGTATCTGAATCTGCGACAAACGCCTTCTGAATGTCAATGTGCAGTCTGCCCCAAGGCGGCTCACAGTGCGTATGCGCGATACAGTTTATCGTCGTGCCGCAGCATTTCATAGTTATATCCGCCGAACTTGTTGCTACAACGTTGCCACAACTTTTGCCACCTAATGCCGCATCAATATGCAAAGCCGAGCAAGTTTCGGGCCAAGTCGAACGCCCCACTAAGCTGCTTAAAACACAAAAACACGAAAAAAGGAGAAACTTTAAGTTCATTTAACTTTTGCAATCATCTGGGGAAGCAGGCAGGACCATCGCCTGCCAGGGCAATTTATGATTTATTAACAACGAGCGAAACTCAATTTGTGCCCTAAGCCCGTTAAGTCAGCTAAAAGGATTTCTTAAACTTAAATGATTTTAATTATTGAGAATTATCAGCAGTGCTGAGCTCTGTAATGCGATTTTCCCCGATTGGGGATTCGGCTAACAGATGGGAGCTTACTGAAACATTCCTTGTCCTGACTGAGAACTATTTCAGTTTGATTTATAGCGTTGCAAATACCATTTTCGGGGTGATTAAACCAGAGTCAGCAGGAGCTATACCCACCCCACTTTTCCACTCACCCCAAATTCACACCCACCACCGCCGTTGGCAATTATCTAAGCAAGTGAGCGTGTAATGGACCCAGGCCCAGTTGACTTCTTTTAATACTGCGTACCAGGAGTGTATTATATTCCTTTG